AAAATGTACCTAATTTGATTACCAGTCAATCCAATGTTAAACATGTGATAAAAATTTAGAAACAGAAATGTATGATTTTCAGTACAAAAGGGCAACGTTGAAACAAATGACTACTGTAACAGCACTTTTCCTTGCTGACAGTTCTGTTCAGTCCATCCAGGTAACAATACATTTGTATCCGCCATCTTTGTTCACACAGGTTCCATGTTGGCATAGATTTATGCTATATTCATTGATGTCTGTGTAATTGGTAAATAAAGACTAACTGTTAGCAATTGAACGGTTTTGGGGTTGCCGTCGCTGTCTCTTTGCTGGCAGTTTTGTCAAATCATTTTGATCCATTCTGGGAACAAACTTTAAGGAAAGAAGTCAACTCACCTTGCTCACAGTTCCGCCCGGCCCATCCAGGTGAGCAGGTACATTTGTATCCACCATCTTGGTTCACACAGCGTCCATGTTGACAGGGATTTCTGGTACACTCATTTATGTCTGTGTGATAAAGAAAAGAAAACGCACCTACTTTATTTAAACTCTAACCCAATGATAATATAACACCAAGACATTAAATGTGTGGTGAAAAGAAGGAAACCAAATATGTATTTGATGTTCTATCAATAAGACAGCTTGGAAACAAAGATGAGTATATGGGAAGAAAGTTACCTTGCTGGCAGTTCTGTCCAGTCCATCCAAGTAAGCAGGTACATTTGTATCCGCCATCTTTGTTCATACAGCGTCCATACTGACAGGGACTTTTTGTACACTCATTTATGTCTGTGTGATAAAGAAAAGAAAACGCACCTAATTTGTTTAAACTCTAACGCAATGATAATGTAAAAACAATGCAATGATAATATAACAACAATGCAATGACAATGGTACACTAATTTATGTCTGTGTGATAAAGAAAAGAAAACGTAAAGTTGCCTAATTTGTTTAAACTCTGACGTAATGATAATGTAACACCAAGAACCTAAATGTGTGGTGAAAAGGAGAAAACCAAAATATGTACTAGATAATTTTCCATCGATAAAACAGCTTGGAAACAAAGATGAGTACATCGGAAGAAAGTCACCTTGCCGGCAGTTCTGTCCAGTCCATCCAGGTGAGCAAGTACATTTGTATCCGCCATATTTGTTCACACAGCGTCCATGTTGACAGGGATTTTTGGTACACTCATCTATGTCTGTGTGATAAAGAAAAGAAAATGTACCTATTATAAATCGATCAATGTTCAACCGGACAGCAACATCTAAATGTTTGGAGAAAAAAATGAAGACCTTACATTTGTAATTAAAAAGACTGAAAATAACCTAAAAAATATTTAAAAATACAGTACATCAGACGAATACTTACCTCGTCTGGACAGTTCTGTCCAGTCCATCCAGTTGAGCAGGTACATTTGTATCCGCCATCTTTGTTCACACAGCGTCCATGTTGACAGGGATTTTTGGTACACTCATCTATGTCTGTGTGATAAAAAAAAATGTACCTATTATAAATCGATTGATGTTAAACCGGACAGCAACATCTAAATGTTTGGAGAAAAAATGAAGACCTTACATTTGTATTAAAAAAAGGATGAAAAATAAAAAAATCACTACATCAGACGAATCTTACCTCGCTGACAGTTCTGTCCAGTCCATCCAGGTGAGCAGGTACAGTTGTATCC